TGGGGGGGTGGGGGGAGTGTTTGCTGGGGGGCAACAACCCAGTCACCAGGGGTGAACTACCCTCACCCCTGGTGGTGACTGGTGCCCCTGAGGTGATATCAGCAGGGTGCTTAGGAGCCCAACCAGAAAAGCGTGGAGACGGAGCAGTCCTCTTCTAGGACTTGGTAGTGGGGCCCTGGAAGGTCGGCTCTGTTAGCCAGGTGCTCACCCAAAGGTTCTCTAGAATCAGGAGCTGCAGCTGCCATGTTGGGGCACCACACAAGGGGACAGGAAAGGCTGGCGGAGTCTTAGAGACATGGAGATGAGAGAGTCGCGGCTCTGAGAACTGCGCAGGGTGGCCTGAGTCCCTTCCAGTGCTCGTGAAGCCCAGTGGACTTGTGCTGCCCCTTTATGCCTATGGAAGAAGCCTTAAGACAGAGTGAAATCCTGAGGAACTAATAGGAATGTTCTGGAAGAGAAGCAGAGAAGGGACGGGAGTTCAAGACCCGGGACCTCTAGGGGTCAGATGGAGGGAGGGAAGCTGGGAGCGAAGAAGAGCAGGACAGAGTAAGCCCGAAGGTGGGAGGCCGAGCGGGGAGGAGGGCGGGCAGGCATAGCCGAGCCTTGCCGAGAGGCTCCACAGAAAGAGGCGAGGTGCTGCCTTCGGGCAGGCGGTGGCGCAGTCTGAGTCGAGTTGAGGGATTAGAAAGCCAGTGGAGAGGTTTCCGTAGAGAGGGTGAGGAGGGCAATGTAGCGGGCACAGCCCCCTGGTGGCACAAGGGTTAACATGCAGCACCACGAGGCTGCACCAGCGTCATCCTGGCCAGGGAGGGACCCGCAGGACTGCAGGCCTCTCCTGACCTGACCACCCGCTGCTCCCCTCAGCTTGGTCCATCGGCCTGTTCTGCTCCCCACTCGTCTCTGGGGAACCCTCTCAGCCCCTGCACCTCTGGCCTGCACCCCAGCTCTTGTGTGCATAAATAAATCTTTTTTTTTTTTTAAATATTTATTTATTTATTTGTACAGAATATAAATAAATCTTTAAAAAATACATAGACATTAGAACTACTACAGCAGGGACTCCGCGTGGGCTGAGAGAGTGCTTACAGGGTTTCCCACAGGGTGATAAGGAGCGTGGTGGTGTCCCCAGTTCTAAGGACAGAACAAGAGCAGGTACAGGAAGGAACGTGATTTCTGCTTGGGAAAAGTTGGTGTTGATGTGCTGGCCGGACATCCAGGGACAAACTTCACAGGTTAGTTTAGGCCCAAAGCTTGGCGATACCCAGCTCTGTTTGCCCGGCACAGAGGTACAAAATCGTCTGGACTGGGCATACAGATTTGGAAATCACCTGCATAATCACAGTGTTGGTGACCGGAAGCATGAGTAAGAGCTCCCCTCCTGAGGCGAAAGGAAAGGAGTCGAGACAGACCAGACGCAAGTTGCTTGCGTCCCGGGGGCAGTCAGAGGTAGGAAGTCAGTGAAGACAGTAAGGAGGAACTTAAGGGTGTGCTAAGGACCCCCAGGGAGGAGATTTTCCAGAAGGAAAGCGTTTGGCGCGCACAGAGAGTTTGCGTCCTGAGAAGGGAGGGCAGGGTGCTCGGAGGCCGTGACCGGGGCGTCTTGTGTCTGCAGGCCGCCCCAGCACCAACCAGACGCGTCTCGACTTCCACTTCTCCTCCGACAGGCCCACGGGCGGCGTGGAAGTCCAGCAGGCCAGCCTCACGTTCTTCGTGCAGCTTCCTGCCCGGGCCGTGCGGGCTTTGAAGGTGAGGGCCCTGGTGGTGGGCCCGCAGGGTGCCAACCTCACCCTGGCTAGCCCGCAGCTGCTCCAGGTGAACGCTAGCGGCTGGCAGCAGCTGCGTCTGGGGCCTGAAGCTCAGGCCGCCTGTGGCCGGGGGCACCTGGCCCTAGAGCTGGTACCTGAGGGCCAGATCGCCCGGACTTCGGTCATCCTGGGTGGGGCTGCCCATCGGCCCTTTGTGACGGCCCAGGTAAGAGAGGCAGGCAGGCACCGGGTCCGCCGACAGGGCATCGACTGCCAGGGAGGCTCCAGCATGTGCTGCCGGCAAGAGTTCTTTGTAGATTTCCGTGAGATCGGCTGGCACGACTGGATCATCCAGCCCGAGGGTTACGCCATGAACTTCTGCACGGGGCGGTGCCCGCTGCACGTGGCGGGCATGCCTGGCATCGCCGCCTCCTTCCACACCGCCGTGCTCAGTCTCCTCAAGGCCAACGCGGCGGCAGGCACAGCCGGAGGGGGCTCTTGCTGCGTGCCCACGGCCCGGCGCCCGCTGTCCCTGCTCTACTACGTCAGGGACAGCAGCATCGTCAAGACCGACATCCCGGACATGGTGGTGGAGGCCTGCGGGTGCAGCTAGCCCATGCGTGTGGGCCCCAGGGCGGGCCGGGCACCCTGCGTGCGCGCCCCAAGCGCCCTCCCTTGAGGAGAGGGAGTGACCTGTTACTGCCCCTGCCCGGGAGTGGACACTCCCTGCCTGGACAAGTCCCCCGCCGTCCCCTCAGCCACGGTCCCGCAGCTCAGCTCCTGCCAAGGGGCGCTGGAGCCCCTCCCCCGCAAGCCGTGCCTCCCGGCGTGGCACGCGCAGCCGCCGTGGCCCCTTCGTGCCAGGCCTCCGCACCCTGTCCACTTGCCGCTGCCCGCTTCCGGCTGAGTGGACCCAGCTTCTGCCCGATGTGCCGCATCTGCAGAGTCCCTTTGTTGAATTCCCCAGGGAGGCGACCTCCTCTCTGAGCCCCTTTGCCCCCAGATTGCCCAGGGGCTGTTCGGGTTCCCCCGGACAGCTGCCCCGCACTGGCCCTCCACTGCCCCGCCCTGTACACCGTCCCCACCCCACCCTCCCCCGCCCACAGTGTCACTAAGCGAACCCCCTGGGCCCTGGCTTGCTGCTGAGTTTGACAGAGGCCGGGGAGGCCGCAGGGCGTGGCGGGGTGCCCTCCTCCACGCCCCTGGGGCCAGGTTGGCCTTGCTGCCCTGCCCCACACCTGCGCTTCCCGTCTGGCCGCCCTCCGGGGGCCCAGCTCCCCCTGAGTTCCGACCACTCTGGGAAGCTGCCATGCCCCCCGCTGCTGCGCACCCTGGATGCTGCCGCCCTCCTTGGGGGGAGGCTCAGCCCCCTTCCGGAGATAGCCCTCACTAAGTCTTCTCCTCGCCGCCGACACAGCGGGTGTCTGTCTCCTGTGGGGACCCTGACGGACACCAGCAGGCGACTCAGCCACCTGCCCTGCTCAGGGCTGCTCCCTCCCCACGCAGGCCCTGGGCAGGGTCCAGTCCCGCTTCATGCCTCTGCCTCCCCCATGGCCTCCTCTTCTGTCTCCGGCTCCTGCCACCTCCCCAGAACCATCTCTGCCAGCTTCGTGGCTTAAAAAAAGACTCTGCTGCTCCTCTCCTTCTGCGTTTGACCCGCGAGCTGAGCCAGGTCCCTGCCCGGGCGGCCACCTGTGGGCACGCGGTAGCTGTCCTGCAAGCAGAGGCGTGGCTGGGGCTGGCCGCCTGCCCCCACCCCCAGTCCTGCCTGGAGCCCGGACCTGGCCCGCGGCCACTTGAGTGAGATGAGAAAAGGCCCGGCGAGGAGGGGCCCTTTGCTCTGAGACGGGCCGCCCCGCCCGGGCCTTGGCCGCTCCCTCTCTGCGGACTGCGGACGGCCCTGAACTGTGGGGTCGATACTGTCTGCAGCCCAAGGCCGAGTTTGCACAAAGCCACGTGTGCTCTGGGTAACGTGATGTCTGTGTTTGCTCAGTGCTGCCCTCAGAACCCGGGAACCAGCCCCGGAGGCAGGCAGAAGTCTGGATGACCTGGTGGGGGAGCGCAGACCTGCACCTCCCGCCCGAGCCGTCCCCCACCTTTGACTGAGGTGGTCTAAGAAGGGAGAGTCCCCGCGCCGGTGGCGAGCGTCTCCTTATCACCCCTCTCTCTCAAACTAGCCTCCTTCCTAGCTACGCCGGCTCGGCTCGGGGCCAAGGGCAGCTGAGCCCACTGAGGAAGTCGCCTTGGGGGGCAAGTCATCAATCCAAGTAAACAGGATCTGAATGTAATATCTCAAAACACCACAATAAATGCCCAAAAGTCTATGACGGATAGAACAGCAAATCTTACAGTGAAGACAGGACCGGGATTAGGCCCTTTCTTTTTGGCTCTTTTATTTCAAAATACAAGAGCGGAGGCCGGTTCCAGCGCCTTCCACATCTGCTCTCCCGGAGCCCCTGGTCCCCCTCTGGACTCTCAGGCTCTCACTGGGCGAGAGGCCACTCGGCCGCCTTCCACTTCCTCGTGCCCCCAGCCTGTAGCTGCCCCAGCCCCCCCCCCGGCTGGTGGCGAGGCCCTGTGAGGCAGATGGCTGGGGTATTTATAACCGGAGCACTTCTTGGGGAAAGTGACTAAGATGCTAAGAGCATATTTATAGCTGGTTCTGACGTAAGTGTCAGTGGGGAGGTAGGTAGGGCCAGGCCAGGCTCCGCAGCTAGAGGGTAGGAAGAACTGAAAATTGGGGGCACCTGGCAGGGGAGGGAGGGTGGGGCAGCGCCTCCTGCAGCCGCCGCTGTGCCCCCGCTCCCCGTGCTGCAGGTCAGCCCTCCCAGGCTTCTCCCACGGGGCTCTGCTCCTGCTCCAGCTCCAGAGGGTCCACACAGCAGGCTGGGAGCCCCAGCAACAGAGAGGGAGGGGGGCTGGGGAGCCCCTGGGCAGAGGGGCTTGGACGCGGGAGAAATGCAAGGTGGCAGGTGAGTCTAAGAGTCTCGTGGCGTCCTCCCACCTCGCACCACAGGCGCCCTGAGCTTCTAGGAAGAGCCTGGCACCGCCCGCCAAGCTCCCTTGCACGTGCCAGCGCGACGCGGTGCAAAACCAAAGGAGGCTGCGATGTGGGCCCCGAGGACAGCCTCGCGCTGATGGCGCCAGCGGGGAGAGCTGGGCCCATTTCCGTCTCCCGTCCGTCCGAGAGGCAGGGTCCCTGCAGGGAGAGGCTGGGGCACTCTGCGCGCCAGCCCGCCCGCCCGCAGATGGCCCTGCGCTGGGCCCCGCTCGGCCCGGGCCGCGGCCGTCCAGCGGCACAGCACTGCCACACGGTGGACGCTGGCGGTACTGCGGCCGGCGCCGCGCCGTCCGCGGGGGGCTGCGAGCCCGCGGTGCTGGGCAAACCCGGAGCCCCAGGAGCCTCCACCCAAATGCCACTCCCTTCCCCCCAGCATGTTGAAGAAAATGGGGCTTAAGAAGAACGCTGGCATGGGCCTGCCCTCATGCATTCACTCCAGGGGCGCTGCCCCCCCTGGAAGTTGCTGAGAAAGTGTGTCCCTGCGGGCTGGGACTAGGACCAGGTGGTGGCGTTCTTGTCACCTGGCTCTTAAGAGCCCTTAAACCTCCCATTTCCCACGCTCACGAAGAGAGCCCCAGGCCGAAGCACCCCAGCCCCCCGCAGCCCTCACAAGTCCCAGGCCCTCCTCCAGCCCTGAAGGACTCTGCCCTCCATCAGGTTGCATCATCCCCCCTCGCCTTTCTGGGTTTCCCCAGACACCAGTCGCATTCCAGCCCCCACCCCCGCTCCCACCTCCTCCACAGGATGCTCCAGTCCAACTGGACTCTGGGCAGCCAGCGCAGGCAGGGTCAGGGTGACTCCTGCGCTCTGTGGTGCTGCCATCTGGGCCTGCACAGAGGGCTCTGCTCTCCCGCCAGCAGCCCCTCGCCCCTGCCCAGCCGCGGCCGGACGCAGAGACGCCCAGAGGAATACTGGCTGCAGGCCGCAGCTGCCTCGTGGAAAGGCCGCAGGTGGAGGCTGGGCCGGCGGGGACAGCGCCCCATGCAGGGACCACCTGCCCGCCTTGCTGGGCCCTCCCCGGCCCCAGCCCTTGGGCCTGAGCATATGAAATCATCCTCCTTCTTGCATCATGCTCGTCCTCGGTGCCCCCCCCCATGCCCCTAACTCAAGCCCAGTGGCCAGGGCCAGATGGTGAAACCTGACCTGGGGGGGGACCTCCACCCCCTGCAGAGGCCTGATGGGCAGCCCCGCTGGCCAATCCGGACCTCCGAGGGTAGATCTGCTGGCTGACCGCTAGGTGAGGGAGCCCGGCTGCCGGCTCTAAAGAGGCCCCAGGTCAGAGCCAGACATGAGCTGTGAGGGTCAAACACGTAGACGGCGCCACACACAGCAACCCGGGGACCCGCTTCCTGCCTTCCTGAGTCCCTGGCGATAGAAGACAGGGGCCCTGCCGTGGCCAGCGGGTGTGGCCCTGGTGCCGCCTGGTGCCCTCGTGAGTCTCACAGCAGGAGCCGCTGCCATGCAGGTCTCCCCCTGGGGCATGGGCCACCCTGGCGTGCAGCTCCAGCTGGTGCTGCTGTGGGCGCTGGCGTGGACACAGGGGACGGAGTCTGGGTGTCCCTCCTGCGGGGACCCCACACTGGCGCCCCAAGCAGAGCGAGCTCTGGTCCTGCAGCTCGCCAAGCAGAAAATCCTGGAGGGGCTGCACCTGACTAGTCGCCCCAGAATAGCGCACCCGCCGCCCCCCGCAGCGCTGACCAGAGCCCTCCGCAGCCTGCAGCTGGGGAGCCAGGCCCCTGCGGGGGGAGAGGAGGTCATCAGCTTCGCTGCCATCACAGGTGGGTGCGGGAGGGAGGGCAGGGGGAGGGTGGGCGGGCGAGCTGGGGCAGGCACCGCTGTGGGGCTCGCTGTCCCTGCTTCTCCTGAAGGCGGGCGCCGGGGAGCCCGACGGGACAGCGGCGAGCTCGCGTCCACGGTCTCCTCGCCCCTTCTCCATCTTTCCAGCAGACTCCTCCCCTTCGGCCTGCAGCGCCACGCTCTCCTTCCGCCTGTCCACCCCCCGCTCCCACCGGCTGCACCGCGCCCGCCTCTGGCTCCGCCTGCTCCCTTCTCCTCCCGGCGCGCTCCACTTGAGGATCTTCCGAGGGGGCCCTGCGCGGAGGCGCCCCGGGGCCCGGGGCCTCCTGGCCGAGCGCCAGACGACAGCCCCGGGCTGGCACGCGCTGCCCCTGCCCCCTAGCGGCCTGAGGAGCGAGGCGTCCGGCGTCCTGAAGCTGCAGCTCGACTGCCGCGCCCTGGACAGCAACCTCACGGCGCAGCCTCGGCGGCTCCTGGACACCGCAGGAGACCAGCGGCCCTTCTTGGAGCTCCAGATCCGGCCCAGCGAGGCTGGGGCAGGCCGGGCCCGGCGCAGGACTCCCACCTGCGACCCCGAGACGCCCTTGTGTTGCAGGCGAGACCATTACGTGGACTTTCAGGACCTGGGGTGGCGGGACTGGATCCTGCAGCCCGAGGGGTACCAGCTGAACTACTGCAGCGGGCAGTGCCCTCCCCACCTGGCTGGCAGCCCTGGCATTGCGGCCTCCTTCCACTCCGCCGTCTTCAGCCTCCTCAAGGCCAACAACCCTTGGCCCTTGGGCACCTCCTGCTGCGTCCCCACGGCCCGAAGGCCGCTGTCGCTGCTCTACCTGGACCGCGACGGCAACGTGATCAAGACAGACGTGCCAGATATGGTGGTGGAGGCCTGCGGCTGCAGCTAGCAGACTGGTGTCTGGGAGGAAGAGATGGAGTTGGGGGTCCCCGGCAAAGGGCATCCGTGGCATCAGATTCCTGAATGGCACCCCCGCCCAGCGGGCCGCCTGGCTGTGTGACCGGGCCCACTCCGGGGGTCTCCAGTGACACTTTCTCATCCAGACTCTGGTCTGCTCCAGAGTGGCTGTGCGTGGGGCGGTGGGAAAGTGCGTCCTCTGCAGGAGCCTGTCCAGAAGGGCGCTGACCACCCTGAGCCCCCGAGAGGAGGGCGGGCGAGGGGGGAGGGAGAGAGGAGAAAGGAGAGAAGCACTCACCTGTGCCATGAAGAGAAAGTGCCGGGGGGAGAGGACAACCGGGGGCCCACCGTTTCGGGGCGGCCTGCTGCAGTGTGACGTGACGGGCAGCTCACTGGAGAGCAAGGGGGAGTGTTTGGGAGAGTCCCCAGACGGGAGTCGGGCAAGTGGGGTGTTGAGCCTTAGAGCTTCCCTGGATCTTCCTGGGTGGCGAGACCCACGGAGGGACACACGTTTATAGCTTCCTAATAAAAATGAGGGAAAACCCACCCGTGCGAGTGGTAAAGGAGGGCGGGCTGACCGTCCCGGGGCGGTGTTCTCCGTGTGTGACGCTCCGGGCCCGGGCTCCCGCGGGCCTTTCAGTGTGCCCAGGAAACACCAGTCCCGCCCGCCGCTTAAGCTGCCTGGTCATCTCAGAAGCGCCCGTGGGGCCGTCAGAGGCCGGGTGACCGGCGCCTCGGGCCCTGACAGGACCGCGTGGGCAACAGGACAGGCGCTTGTGCTGGGGTTTCGTTTCTAATCTGAACCACATCCATTTGGGGCAATGTTAAGGGGTGTTGAAATAAAGAGTGTGACCACACCTGGCCTTGAGGCCTGGGTGGTGAGGGCGCAGAGCCCCCTGGGGAGAGGGGCAGGGGTCAGAGCCCTTCTTCACAAGTGGCCGCTGGGGGTAACTGGTCCTCGGGAAGCCGGTGGGGACGTCGCTCAAAGCTCGCTCGGCGCCGGTGCCCCGTCTGTCTCCCCCGGGGCCTCAGCCCTCTTCCTCGCTTCATTTTCCCCTGGACTCCCGGACTGGACAGTTACCCTACTGCCCCTCCAAGCCCAGCCGGAAGGGAGGAGAGGCCACGGCGACAGGAGGGGGTCCTTCCTTTCCCCGCTGTGCTCATAAAGAAAAGTCAGAGAGGCTGAACTAGCTGCCCCTGCCCTGCGTCTGGTCACCATGGCAGCACGCGGCCAAGGAGCCCGGCGACCCCGCGGCCGGTAGACGGCGCCCTCGGCCCGGGGCCCTCTGTCCCGGTCCTCCCACACGTCTCTCCGGGCTTGCAGCCCTGCAGCTGGGCTGCGACCCGGCCTCGCTGGGGGCCTGTGAGATCCGCTCCCGCGCGCGGCTCGGCGCCCCAGCGTGCCATGCTCCGGAGCGGCCAGCAGAGGGCGCCCGGCGCCTCGGCGAGAGGGGCGCGCGCGGCGCGGAGGTGGGCGCGGTCCTCCCGAGTTTGAGCTGCTTAGAGGGGGGCTCAGGGGCAGTCCCGCGGCCCCGGGGTCCTTAGGGATCTTGTGAGCACGCACCTGGAACCCAGAGCCTCCGCCGCCGTTCCTGTTTTGGGCTCCAGCAGATAGGCGCCCCGCCTGCCTCCCGGGGACCCCGACCCGGCTCCGTCGGAGCTTGAGGCTGTACCCTGCGAGCTCCATCCGAAGGGAGGGTGGCAGATAAAGCCCAGGGTGGAGAGCTGAGTTGGCACCAGCCACAGTGCATCGTCCCGCCTCGAACACTGTCCTTCTCGGGCGAACTTTTCCCGCCCCCCATCCCCCAATTTCCCTGTGTTTTCTGGCCCTGCCCAGGGCCTCTCCGCGGGCCGCCGATCCCAGGATCCAGGCCGGGATTTACTGCCCACCCGCAGCAGCGTGTTGGGGGGGTGGTGTTAGGCAGTATAGGGTCCCTCAAGGGAGGGGGAGGATCCTGGGGGTCCTGGGGGTGCAATACGCCCGGCACCCCCTCTCTGGCTTCCAGCTACCCCGCCACCGCCTTCAGAGCGGCAAGAGGGCGGGGAGTCGGCGGGAGGTGAGGGGCGAGCGGGGCGAGCGGCGGCGCGCCAGCGGCTGGAGCGGGGAAAAGTTTTGCAAAAGGGAAAAAAAAAGTTTGCGCTTCTCGCGGGTGGTCCCGGCTCGCGGCCC